GTCGCCACCGCTACCTGGTTCTTGCTTCTCGGATTTGGATTGGGGCTTCGGCAGCGACGGTGGTTCAACCTTCAGCCAAAGCGACTGTTGTTGCCGAAGGTTGCCCCAGAATAGATTCACCCATCTCCCAGCCCCTTTCCCGTGTCCGTTGCCCATCGATCCATCCCGCGGACACCACAGAATGGGGCAAAAGTGCTCGTTTCTCGGACCAAAATCAAATTCAACCAATTTGCAATGGGCCCGGAGTTGAGGCCAAAGGCAAATGTCTTCATATGCTTTATGCTACGGCTTCCTTCCTCCTTTAGCTTTTTATGGGCCACAGCCAATGAACCGAAGAGACATCATGCCATGGCCCACACACACATGGACGCACACCGAGCGCCTTGAAAGGAACCCAGATTTGTCGAAGACTAAAATACCCTTCTTTTTGGGCAGTTTCTGTAAGGGAAATGCGGAAAAAACTGGTGTTAATTATGAAAATAAGAATCCAGAATATACTTTGGTTTACTTATATTAATAATATTTGGTATTTTAATAAATGTCTTAATATATATTTTTAATTCCACGATAAAGAAATAGCTGATGATAAGTAGACGTTTTTTTTTGTGAGATCATAGCAAATTCTTCAATAAATTTTAATTTATTATATAAAAAGCAACGTTACCCTCAGAAAGTGTATGAAAATAAGCGAAAAAAAAACCGAAATGTGATTTAATTTATTATTACAAACGTTAAAGGAGTCAAAGACGGTCTCGGAATTCCTCGTGGAGGAGGGTGCAAAGCGATTTACGGTGGCGCATCAATTCAGAGTAAAACGAAGGACACAGGACGAGGGCACTGGCGGGGTCTGGCAAATGAGTTCCATTTATATCATTGGTCATTACGGAAATTATGCGACGCCGCACCGAGCGACTGGCCACGGAAGCGGTATAAAACGATAAAGATACATTGCAAACGGATGTCCAAGTATGAAAATCGCCTCGGGGATGCCCGATTGAGCTGCACGGGCAAAGGATGTAAGGATGTCTCTGGTCAGGACTTGAAATGTGCGGGGGAAAGAACTCTGTTCTGAGCTGAACTGGACTGTCTCTGACCGTTCACTAAAAGAGGCCGGGGTGAAGTCGTAAAAAACAGCAAGGGCGGTCGGCCCATCAATAAAAAAGGGAAGACAATGGACTGGACTGGTTGTAAGGAAAGTCGCTTATTTTTTTGGGGGAAGGAACTAAGGAAGTTTTAGACTTGTACAAGATGCCAGCCCACAGATTAGAAATGGGTAGAGTCCTGTGAGGAGAGGTGGTGCCAGAACTACTATTGTTTCTTTAAATTTTAGGTGATAAATAAGGAATAAACAAATTTGCATCAAGCTGATTTTTATTTAGTTTTTAAGATCCTAATGAAACTGAGATTAATCTTCTTTGTTGAGCTTTAGAATTTAGGGAAGCAAAACTATTACATTTTAAACGAATTTCTTATCTTTAATATATTTATTTTTTGATATTAATATTGTCTTTTATTTCCCATATCTATCAAGGACTACTTTGTGGGACTATTATTATACAATCACTTTGTTTATTAGTCAGATAAAACATGGTTTAAAAGGTAATATAACTTAGCGTTTATTCGATTTTTATATGTATAATGAACATACGTTCACAATATTAGCCTTCAAGTTTTACTATCTCAACGAAACCCATTCCCAGCCACACATCAATGATTGATAAGCTTTTGGTCAAAAACTTTTTGGCACTTGGGTCCTTTGACGCGATAAATATCCCCTTTTCAGTGCTGCCAAATCGAGATTTATGAGCATATTTTGTGAAAAACTTTCCACGACCAAACAAAGCGACAACTAATGAGCTTCGAACAGGACTTGGGACTTGGCTCTTTGCTCTTCATTACGCTAATGAGTGGCGGCGGAATGACGCGGCAACTGGGAAAAAGCTAATGTGTTAACGATTTAAGGTTAAAGTCAGATCGGAAAACAGGAACAATTCGCAGCCCCTCCTCCTCCTCCTCTATCTTCAATGTCAACGCTACGTGTTTGGCATGCAAAAAGAGGTGACAAAGAACCGGGGAACCAGAGTAAAAGTAAAATGCAGGAAGAAGCCCCCCAATCATCCGTCCGTGCGATTACATGTGTGAACTATCGATTGAATTAAGACAAGCCAGCGGAGACGGAAGCGGAGGCGGGGGCACATGCGAGCCACTTAAGCGTGTCGCTCGACGCCGGCTCATCTTCATCCTCATCCCCATACCCATTCCCAAACCCATCTTTATCCTCGTCCGCATCCACTTGAGGAGCATCATAAAAAACGCACCACCCCGCAATCCAGACGGGCCAAAAAGAGATTCCCTTTCTCTATCCGAAATCACATCGCTGCACTAGAAAAAATGTAGAAAAATAATCATAAAATTTAAAAAAAAATCATATAAAAGGTGCTCTAAAAAATATTAAGTATTAATTTTCCCATTTTTATATAGGAGATCTTATATTATCCTTTTATCTAAATTAATGTTTCTTGAATATCTTGCAAAGTTCCCCATACAGTGTTTTTTTAAGTGCATTCCTCATCGAAGCCGTCACACGTCGCAGTGCAGGCATAAAAAGAGTGCCCGACCGAATGCGCAGCATAATCAAACGGTGTGTGTGTGTGGGCCATAATAATGTTGACAATCATCCCAGTTGTCCGAGAAGGCTTCGCTTTGGGTACGGTTGGGTTGGGCTCTGACCGTGGTCCACGGGTAGTACGGGTCCTGCCCCTAAGCACTGATTATGCCGAGATGAACTCCAGCCCCATGGCCATGACAATTTACCGATTGTCATTGCCGTGTCTATAAATTTCATTTGACAAAATGCCGGGCACTCAGCACTTCCCCCCCTGGAATCTCTCCTGGCCGGCTTATCCACTCTTGACATCCACTCAAGCTGCCAGTGTTTCACTCGTGTCTGGCCTGCGGCTCAGAAAACTCTCGAATCAATAATGAAAAGGGCGAAGGGGCAAGAAGAAAGGAGACTTTCGGTCGCCAGCGATTTGCATCAGAATTTCATAATTATTGTTTAATCTGCACTTGAAGGAAAGTCCCGAAATGTAGCAGATTTCACCGGGGGAAATAGGATTCTGAGTTGGTATTGCTATCGGATTGGTTGTCAGCCAAAAGACAAGATTATTTCGGCTTTGTTACAGTTTAAGTAAAAAATTCTACAATTTAAAATACAAGAAAAACATTCTTGATTCTTATAAAATGGTTAATATCATAGTTATTGTTGTGATTTTATTTATCAAAGAAATTTAAATGTTGCATTAAAACGATTTGCTTTGGTAGATTCAAATTTCGTCTATAGTATTTTTTCCATGGTTTTGCATATGCCGAAATCAGTGGAAATTTGACACTTCCTGCTGGCCGAGAATGAAGCTAGAAAATAAATAAATAAAAAACTGAAAAAAGTCGAATAAAAATGGCCACTTGATGGGCGATCATCATCGTCGGCTTGGACAAAGCACATAAATTCAGAATTCGACAAAACTTCTTGCGCAATCCGTCGGTCGATCGAGTGGCTGTGTCCCATTACATAAACCCCAAAGAAGACCAATATCGTCTTGGGGGAGGAGAAGGGAGTGGGTGGACGGGGTTCGAGTTCTTGGTAGGGCAGGAAATTCATATATAATCAAAATAAAAATAATAAATTCAAGACCAGAATCTGAAAAGACCGCCGCAGCCGCAGCCGCGCCAAATCAAATCAGAAATGCAATCAAAATAAACAAACACTGAGGGACTTAAATTTTTATTAATGAACATTTACAAGCCGCGAGGGTTCGTTTGGAGATGTGGATCCCAGTTGAATCGACACTTTACCGAATTACGCCGCCTGGATCTTGCCTCTGATGCTGTTGTTGATCTCCATGTTGATGATTGTAACCCAATGCCGCGGCTGCAACGCCTCTTTCTGCTCCTGCATGCGCCATTACGCGACCAATGTTTGTTGACATTCTGCTGCTCTGCTCCTCAGAGGCTTTGCAGTGTTTATTTGGGTTTCTTAACTGTTGCTGGCGGTGGTCCGTCTCAGTTGGAAGCCGATTTATCCATGCCGCCAGACCACACACCCATGGGCACTTCTTCGAAATCGAAAGGGAGAAGTCGGATCCTGCTCTCAAATCTATGCTGAAAGCGGACACTTACTTTTGATAGTCTTCTTGGCTTAAAAAACTAAATATTAATTTTTAAGACTGTGAATTATTTGAAATATTAAGGCAGACAGTTGGAAATCGACATGGACTTAAAACAAGTTAAAATCGTAAAAAACTTATACATTTTTGAATGGCTTTTCTAATTTTCCAGAAATTATGCCTCAAATAAAAGAAATGCCGGACAAAAGAATATTCTGTCCTCGAGTCATTGCAAGGTATTTGATTTCATTGATTCTGAAGAAGATATTTCCTATCAATTAATGTGCAGACTAGTAATTTAATTTAAAATATACCTGAATAATCTTTTGCAACAGTATCTTTATCTTTCTTTTGCAGAAACATAACTTACATACAAGTCTGAACTGCCCAGATCGAAAGACTGTATAATATTGTTTTTGTAACTAAGAATCTATGTTATAGATAAAAGGAGGCAAGTATCCATCCTCATAAAGTATAAATATTTTTGATAATCGTTTCCAGACGAGTCGATTTAGTCATGTCAGTCTCGTCTTTGGGATACTAATCAAGAATATTTTACTCTTACAGATTAGAAAAAGATGACTGCTGCTTTATAAAGACATTTTTGGTTGGCATAAATCTTTGGACTAGCCATAGATTTTTTACTTCATCGCCTGCATAATAATTTTTAAGATTGATCAAACGATACCCACCTTTGTCAGCATAATAATCTTAACAATCATTTTACAACAAATTAAGCAAATGGAATATAGACAAACATATTCCATTTGCTTAATTTGTTGTAAAATGAAACCTAATTAAAATAATTTTAAATAAATAAATACAAATCCATCATTTTACTTTAATTTTAGATTTATTTATTACTAAATTGTTTTATGCACACTTATCAACTACTCACAATTGTTATTAGTTATTAATTATCTTAAATTTGTTGTCTTCTCTGTTCGGATCCGCTCTTTTGATTTTACAAAACGAGATTTAAATATTTTTGCAAGTTCCTTAAAGTTTAAAGAATTTAAATTTGTAGCATTTTCTTATTTTGTATGTGTGGTTGGGTGTATTTACATATGCCATTATCGTTCTTTTAAAGTGCTTATTACATTGTATAGGACTTGTTGTTTGTTTAGTTTACTTCAGTAGAGTTTTGCTCAGCTTCTCTTTATACAACATCATTTGCTCGTTTGCTTCTGCAGTATTTAAACATAATTACAACCTTTAGTTTTAGTAATTTTATTGCTTACGGAGGAGTGGAATCGGGCTTAAACGGAAACGGAAACACGGCCTCTAAGAACAACTCTGCGTACAACTATTGCTTCTATGATATTATTATTTTTCGCTCCTTCGTGCCTTCCGCTTAAAACTAGAAGAGAAACTAAGTCTAGAACTAATCAACAAATAAGCGTGTGTTACTAACTCGTAATTTGTAATAATGTAGCGATCGTTAATCAGAAGCTGCAAGTTTGATTCTCTTGATTTGTTTTTGTTTCTCTGCTTTATACAATGTTTGTTCTTTATACATACACGTTCGAATTAATTTTATTTATAATCGATTTTTGCCTTAGTCAGACTGATAATCAGCAATAGTTCAATATATCATCATCAATCTCTGGCGATCACTTTCAAAGTGCACGAACGCAAATTCAATTGAAATTTATTGTCACAATCAAAATTAAAGGGAATTTAAATGCTTTAAATATTTCTCTAAATAATTCCCTGAAAACTATTAATTAGGAAAAAATATTGATTACGAATAACTGTGCTCCAAAACAAATGAGAGAAATTTCGTGGAATTATAGGATGAAGTTCGTTGGGTGAATTTAAAATTCAAATATTTTCTTAATGTTCTAAAATTGATTTAATAAATATCAACAATGGTGGTAATGGGAATGCAAAAATGGACAAAAAAAGAAATATAAAATATTACTGAACGTATGACTAACTTTAAAATAATATTAATTAATTTTTGGAATATACTTAATTATATGTGCTTTTATTGTTGGAAACTAAAACCTTTCAGCAAATGATTTTCAAAGTGTTCTCCGAAAATTTACTTAAAAATTATTTATAGTCTGATGAACCCCTAGAGCCCCAAATGGGCTCCAGAAATAACCTCTTTGGGGAAATACCTTACACCCGGAACGCTTTTCGCTCAGTTGACCATCTGCTGGGGGTTCCACTGTGGACCCCGGTGCTGGATATGGAGCTGGTGGTGTTGCGATGTAGACGCGGATGCGGATGTGGAGGAGCCGTTGCCGCTGGCCGCCGCCAGCTGGCGTCAGAGGTAGAACTCCGGCGAGTTTTGGTTGTCTCCGGCACCTGTGCCCCCACCTCCGTTTCCGCCCACGCGCTGCAGACGCTGCATGAGAGCGTCCCGCTCCTGGCACACCCGCGAGTACTCCACCTTCAGGCGATGCAGGTCCTGGTTAAGCTGCCTGTTGGCCTTTTCCAGTTCATGGCGCTGGTGCAGTCGCTTGGAGCGGCAGTTCTGGGCGTAGCCACGGTTCTTCAATGTGCGCCGCTTCTGCTTCAAACGCACCACCTCCTCCCGAGGGCAGCCGTGGAGTCGCTTGTTTAGTTCTCGTACCGTCAGTGTGGTCAGCATGTCGTCGTTGATGCAGTCCTCCAGGGTGGCAGTGCTGTAGGCCCCGGAGCACGTTCGGGGCGACATGTTGTTTGAGGATCTTGTGGAGCTTGCAGAGAGCGGGCGGCATGGTTGGAGGGCTGCCCGGGTGATCACACAGGATCCGCCGCTGACGCTGCCAGGACCTCCACTGCCTCCTCCTCCGCCACCGCCCCCGCTGCTACTGCCGCTCCCATTGCTCGGCACCTGCGGCAGGCAAGTGGGCGTCACCGATCCCGATCCGAGCGCACCGCCGTAGGAGTTCGAGTGCGAGTGCATGTTGATGGGTGTCAGGTCCAGGTTGTGGAAATGGTGGTGGTGGTGGTGCGGGTACTTGGCCTGCTGCAGATGCGGATGTGGGTGACCGCCGTGGCCGTGCGGATGATGCTGCGCCTGCATCAGCGGCTGTCCATGGTGGTGATGATGGGCCGCGGCCGCTTGCAGAGCGTAGTCCCGCTGCCGATCCCACTCCTCCGCCTCCTCCTGTGAGCCGGGATAGGCCAGCGGACGCAGATCCAGGGGCTGCTGCTCTGCCCGAATGGAGTTCGTCAGCCACATCATGTCGTGACTCAGTCCGGCGCTTACTGCCGCCGCTCCGGATGCAGCGGCCGCGGCAGAGGCGGCAACAGCAGCGGATGCAGGGCCACCCGGTGTCCGGGCGTAGTGGTGGGCATAGGTCTGGGCCGGACAGCTGCTGCTGCCCGTGGGCGAGCCCACGACAGGTGGCGTCTCCGGCGGCGTGGAGGGCACCCCGCCTGGTACACCTGGCGCTCCTGCTGCTCCAGAGGATGTGTTAACCAGAATAGCTTGTCCGGGCAGCGGTCCATACTGCTCTGGCGGCGGAGAGAGCGGCTGCAGCCGTCGCTCGTCCATGTGCCACTGGTGGCCCGAGAAGGAGCGCAGCTTGATGTGCGGCGACGGTGAGACCTCCACGGCTCCGGCGGGCTCTGGCCCGGATAGGGGCAATGCTTCCGGTCCGTCGTCCGGATTGGTGGGCTCCCCGTGGATCGTTGTCCACTTGACTGCCACCGGCTGCGGCGGACTGTGATCCTCACGTTTCACGTGACCAATGGGGGCCACCGAGGGTCCGCCGTTGGTGGTTCCGCTACCAGGGGCTCCGCCCACCTCCAAATGGTGCAGATCAAACTCCTGCACGTACGTGTCGTTAATGGTGGGATCTTCCATTTTCATTGGATCGACCAGGACCAGGACCGGAAAGGGTCGGTTACGGGTCTCACATGCAAGGTGGTGAATGGGTTATCGCCGTTGATGGGAGATCGAAAGTCAAGGGCCGCGGTCACTGAGTTTCTTTCCGTTGATTACCTGTCTTCCAAAGACCAAGTTATAGTTTTCTTCTTTTAAATTAAATTAAATTTCAGATGGAACTTGACGTGAGTTATTTATAGGAATTACGGATCATTACTAAGTAATCCGCTAATGGATTTTATTATTTATTTTGTATTTTATATATTTTATTATTGTGATTATATTTATTGTTAGATTATTTTTATAGGAAGCTTTGCAAGCCCAAGTTTTGGTTTAGATTATTCGGCTTTCGATTTGTTTTAGTGTTTTGGATAGTTTTCCTGTTATCAACTATTTTTCCAGCTCTATTTGTCAGCTTTATTGCGAATGCAATTAATTTTTCAGATCACTTTCCGCACTTTCTCTAGGGCATTATCAATAGGCTTGCTTTCGCTCTATATCTTCCCTTCTCGCTCACTGTGGCCACGAACGCGTATTCGCCGCTCGCTGCGTCCAATTTCAAAGAGTTAACGGTGGCGACTGAACTCCGGATCCGGCTCTGCTGCTGGCGCACTTATTGACTGGATGACTGGATGGATGGCCTGAGGGTGGCCGAAGCTCCTGGCAGAATGGCTGCGGCGCGCGCATCGCCCCGACACTCACCCACACAGGCAAAGCCACATGCCGCAAAAAACCGACCAACACAACAACAAAAAGCCCAAGCTCGAACGCCATTCGCTGATGGCTTTTTTTCTCTGGGGGCTCGGGGCTCCTGCTGGAAGTTGGCACTTGGAAGGCACTTGTCGAGAGAGCCCAGCACCCGTTCGTGCTGGTGTTTGTTGTTGCTGTCGCTTGCCGGCAGCAGCTCTCTCGCGTAGAACAACAAACCTCAAGCCGAGGAAAGCTTCGCACACCGCTGCACTGCACAGTGGAACAAATAGTTGGGGTTTCATATTACTTTAGAAGTGCATTGTAGTGGTTAAAAGCTTTGAAGTAAATAGCTCTTAAGGATTTAAACAAAACAAAAATTGTAATTATATAAAAATATGTACTTATTTAAGTATCAAGAGAATTCCGTAAATTGATGTCTAATAATAATAATTAATAATAATTATGTTCATTAAATTCATACAGCTTCAGTTTTTAACAGTGATCTTTATCTATAATACCCTAAAATATGCACTATATCTAAAACATCTCACGAAACTAAACTAAAGGTTAACTTTTTTCTAGAAGAATAGAAAAAAATATGTAATTTGAAATAAACAGTCAATGCTATCCACATCACCTGGAGTTAAGTTAGATAGTATCCTTGTACGTTTATCCAAGAATGGTATTTTTATGAAAATAAGTATATAAGTCTTGAATAAATAAAATAAAAAAGAAAAGAGAGTCCTTTTAAACAAGTTTACCTAATTTATAGTAAATCCGCAACTGACTCAATTCGCATAATCCGTGATCCAGAACTAAGCAACTAAATATACTCAAAATAAGTATAGGGAACATTCAATTCTTTGAACCATATTTTAATATATCCAAGCTCTTTAGTAGCTACAGTCACCATGCATAAAATGTGATCTTGAGTATCTTAGAACTAAAATATGTTGCCTTATTAGGACAGACGATGTCTAGAGCGACTAGGTTGGTGATGCTGATCAAGTATATACAATGCCTCTCTGTGCAACGATATGAAACGTTGACCACTGTGCAGGAGCACAAAGATATGCTGCGAATCCCCTCGCAAACCCGCTCTCCCCCCTGCTACTGGGGGTCTCTCGTTTCGGTGGTGGAATTACTGTCGTCGCTGTTCAGTTCGGCTCAGTTTGGCAGAGCTCTTGAAGTAGGCGTTTTTGAATTGCCATGGAGCGCATAAAAAATGGCACGGCCACAAGCGAACACATAGATGCCCGGACTGATACACAGATACACCTCATGCTGTTGTCGGCTCCGCCCACTTGCCCACTGTGTGTGTGTGTGTGCGAGTGAATATTTATGAGCAACTACCACGGAAATTCCTACATAGCCAAGCTTCCAGTCTCGTTTGGCTGGCCATTGCTGGGGTAAGTTGGAGCTGTTGGAACCGCATCTGAAGCTGGAGCTGGAGTGGAGGAGTGGAAGACAGCCTGTTTGGCCTCGTCCACTGTTCCATTTTCCAGTGCATAAGTCAATGCGAGATGTTTTAGCTGAGATAAGTCGCTCGATTTGTTTTGGCTCGTATATAATACACGCCGGCCTGCCTGTCTGTCTGTCTGTCTGTCTCCGTATCTATGTACGTTTGTATCTGTGTGTTTGCTCTAAGCAAAGGATTCCTCGATGCACAGGTGCACCTATGTAGTTGCTGAGCCAGCAAAAATGGACACGGACCCGCCATTCCCGGGCAAGGGATTGGGTTCGGGGCTTCCCTTGGTTTATTTTAATTTGGCTTCCTTTTGTTTGGATTTTTTTTTTTTTTTTGGGCAAATGTTTTGGCTTCGTTGACCAAACAGATTTCTCTGATGTAATAGGCTGCTCACGGGATATATATGAGCGGACGTCTTGCTTGTTTGTGCAACAAGTTATATAAACATATATTTTCGGAATATGGGCCAGCAATGGCCAATATAACTTACATGAATATTAAAGATTTTATTCGTATTACTTACATCAGATTTTTCAAAAGAATGTTTCGTAAAATTTTGGCAAATCGAATAAATTATAGATTTCTTAATCATTCTTAGCAAATTTGATTTTCGTTTAAAACTTAAATTAAGTCATAAGTAATATATATTATAGTTAAATTCTACACAGTTTTTTGACTACCCTTCTGGTTATTATTATTTTCATTAGTCAACAAGAAAGAAAGCTATACCCTTGCAGGTAACCATTATAATATATCATAACTAAGCCAAAAATGCATTAATTTCGATTCGGAAAGCAGTTTTGTGTTAGTTTTTATTAATTAAAAAAAAACTGCATACCAAATTTAAAATTTTAAGAGATCAAAATTTTTGGCCATTTTTGGAAATTTTAATGATGTAACCCCTTATCAAATTTCGCAAAAATGGCAAAAAAATCGATTTCTTCTGGACATGTCTAGAAAGATTCGCATGTTAATGCTGATCAAGAATATATATGGTTTATGGGGTCGGAAATGATTCCTTGACTTAGAAAAATATTATTTTGTATTATAAAATCGGATTTTTTATATTAAAAAACTTCTTGATTTTTTTTTTAAATTAAAAATATCATAACTCGGCCATAAGAGCATTAATTTTAAATCGGAAAACTGTTCTGTGCAAGATTTTCTACAGTTAATAAATCTGCATACTTCATTTAAAAATTTTGAAAATTCAATTTTTTATCAAAATCAAACATTTTACTGATGTAACCCCTTATAAAATTTTGCAAAAATGGCCAAAAAATCAATTTCTTCCTGACATATCTAGAATGATTCCCCTGTTGATGCTGATCAAAAATATATATACTTTATAGGGTCGGAAACGTCTCCTTCACTGCGTTGCAAACTTCTGACTGAAATTATAATACCCTGCAAGGGTATAAAAATGATGTCCTATAGCTTTCATAGTAAGGGTTAGTTCAAGTTATAAGGGTATGCAATCATCGGCTTCCCGAAGGTAGCTTCCTTTCTTGCTTATTATGTAACATTAAATAGTTTTACGGTTACGCAATTAATTTTTTACTAAACATGGGAGGGCTTTAAGATTTTATAAAATAAACAAGGTTTAAAATTTCATTACAATTTAAACATTAGATTTACAAATAGATTTAGTATGCCATCAATAAATAAATAATAGAGTTCGTGGCATCTCAATCCAATTTTCAAATTCGAAACAAACCAAGAATCTGAAATATATACAGAACTAGTAACTGGATAATTTACTAATTTAGTTTCTTTAAAATATTGTAATAAAATTAAAAGAAAATGTTGTGTTCTTTTGTAAGTAATTGCAATAAATTATTTTATTGTATTTAAAAAAATATTTTTTGGAATTCTTTGACATTATAAAAAAGACTTGAAAATAATTATTCCTATAATAAGTTGAGACATACAAAAATAACACTTAATTATGCGAATTAGGTATAGTTTTTCCTTTTAAATTCTTGGTTAGGCATTGTCAGTGAACACTTTATCGCAAAAACTAATCCAACTATTTTGGTCTGCTTTGTGAGCCACAAAAGTGACCGCAGAAACTTGGCATTAAAGCAAACCCCTAGCCAGCATCCCTCGCACACGCACACACACCCATTACCCCACTCTCAGTTGTTGTGTCGCAATGAATCGCAAAGGGGCGGGTGGCCAGGGGTGTGGGCGTGGGCGAGGGTGTGCCGGAAAAGGGGGGCATGTTTTATATGCTTCTTCTTCTCCTTAGGCCCTCTGCTAGCGGGAAAAACATAAAACAAAATCAAATCAACTGTTGGGAAATGCAGGGAAATTCAGGGAAACAAAGACGGCTCTAGGCTTCATTGAAGCTTGTCAAAATTAAATTGAACACAATCGAATTATCCTCTGCATGCTCCATTTGGCTGTCTGTGCTGATTTCCAGCAATGCGGGGGTTTCCCCCAGAGAAGGGAGCGGGCAATTCAGAAACTCAGTGCAAAGGACGAGAGTGCGGTCAGAAGGTGGAGCAGCACTTAGGCATATTAAAAAGGGTTAAAGGTGTGCAAATATTTATCTGTGGCCAATTAAAAATATGTTTAATAATCAACTCGAGAGAGGCAATCCACAGGGGAGCGGGGTCATCAGCAGGCAGCAGCCACGTGCTAGCCAAGTTTTTCCATTCTTTTATTTGCAGTTATCGCCCCCTGCCAAAAAGTATGCTATGGATAAGACTTTTGAGAGATTGAGAAATCGGATGAGCTAATATTTTATAACTTTTAGAAGACGGAATCATGATTTAAGGTATCTCGTTAAACCGATACAAAAATCTACCAGCATCTCCCAGTCTTTTTATTGGAAGTATAGCCTCCTGCAGGATATTTCCATATCTCCTCATTTGCATCTACTCGTATTCCGAAGGACTCGCCATCATTGTCAATCGCTGAATCCAAGTGCAAATATTTGTCCGCGATTCCTTTCAATTGCATTTCAATTGTCGACGATGATGATGCGGATCCGGATGTGTGTGTGTTCTCTGATGTCAATAATGATTTCCCTCCCGCATCAAGCGAAGAACGCGTTTGACAATGTTTATTACGCCGGATTAGGCAGCATTACAACTTACGGCAAAAAGGCGCTCAGCTCGGTCGCCGGTCTGGCATGATGTGGTGATGTGATTGATTGTGCCGGGTTCCCCTGCTCCCTGCCTCCTGCCATTCCCCAGGATCATCGGTTGGAGTGCACTTAAAGCACGAAGTAGCATCGTGTTTTATCGCAAATAATTTCTGGTAAATCTACAGAAAATCGATTTCAAAAATATATAAGAAAGAAAGCAAAAAAACGTTGACATGTCGCAGTCAATTTACATGCCCCTTCATCTGGCAAAACCCAGCATGAGTGCACCTCTGCTGGGGGTCTTCTCCTGTATGCCAGGCCATGATTTGTACTCTCTCGATTTCTCGGCGGGTTTAATGACATGAGAAAAGGAATCA